AAGAAGAAGAAGAAGAAGAAGAAGAAGAAGAAGAAGAAGAAGAAGAAGAAGAACAATAGTAATATCATCATCATCATCATCATCATCATCATCATCATCATCATCATCATCATCATCATCATCATCATCATCATCATCATCATCATCATGAAGTTGGAAGAAGAATCAAACTATAGTAAGTACAATGGGATTTAAATTGGGTGTGTTTTTCGACTGAGTATAAAGGTTGTCAAAGTGTGATTCTCTCTAATATCTATTTATGCTGTGGGAGGGAATTCCACACCACGGCACAGCAGCTGTCGAAAAAGCCCTTCCTCCATTGGGGTTTGTTGGATGTTGTTTGTTTTTTGGTTTTTTGTTTCGGGTTTGTTTTTGGGGTTTTGTGTTTGTTTTTTTGTGTTTTTGTGTTTTTGGAGGGGGGTGGGGTTGTTTTTGTTTTGTTTTGTTTTGTTTTGTTTTGTTTTACAAGGCACAGTGTTGTTTTTCCTTCCCATTCCCAGTGTACACACACTCTGGGTTTCCCAACTTTTCTGGTATGGCCCTAGAACTGTCCCATGAACTTCTGTCTTTCTGTTTGCTTCTCTGTCTATCTGCTAGTTTGTTTTATCTGTCTGTCTGTCTGTCTGTCTGTCTGTCTGTCTGTCTGTTTGTCTGTCTGTCTGTCTGTCTGTCTGTCTGTCTGTCTGTCTGTCTGTCTGTCTGTCTGTCTGTCCGTATGTATGTATGTCAGTCTGTCTATTTGTCTTTCACTCGACGCTCTTTGTATAAAAATCTTCACTTTGTATGTATTCCACGTCAGTGTTCGTTATAGCTTTCTTTCTCTCTCTCTCTCTCTCTATCTATCTATCTATCTATCTATCTATCTATCTATCTATCTATCTATCTATCTATCTATCTATCTATCTATCTATCTATCTATCTATCTATCTATCTATCTATCTATCTATCTATCTATCTATCTATCTATCTATCTATCTATCTATCTATCTATCTATCTATCTATCTATCTATCTATCTATCTATCTATCTATCTATCTAACAGACAAAATCTCCCGCCAACACCACCAAAGACCATGTATGCTGTTTCTGCTCTCTTTGAAGTAAAAAAACATGTATATTATGAATGCAATCATCTGTATCGTTCACATAAGCAAGCGAAGGTAGCTTACCTGTTTGTATACAGAATGCAATGTCTTCTCGCCTCCTCTCGCCTGTCGTAAAGACACATCTTCCTCGCTTTGCAGTCTCCATTTGCTTTCTTTGGCTTGACATATCATGCCTTGGGGGCATAAAACAAAATCGTAAGGTCAAAACGATAAAAGATCAAAGGGCGCTAAGAATTCGGGGTGCTTTGTTCCTAAAATAATTGCATGCTGAGGATTAGATCTAGCTAAACAAACTGAAATCGTACAAAAACGAAACATGAATCAACGTACAGTATTCTTACGAGGCTGCAAAAACGCCTGGAAACAATCAGTGTGTTTCGCTTAGTGTGCAGACGGCATAATGGTTCGTTATGAGGGTAGTATGATAACACAATCTTCCGAAAGAATTATTGTACGTTACATAGGCCAGTATGCATGAAACGCTGATGTGTTATTATTATTATTATTATTATTATTATTATATTATTTTCATTATTATTATTATTATTATTATCATTTTTATTATCATAAATATTATTATTATTATTATCATTACTATTATTGCAGTTGTGTTGTTATTCTTGTTGTCATTATTGTTGTTGTTTTTAATATTATGATTATATTATCATTTTCTTGAAATAATAATAATAATAATAATAATGATAATAATAATAATGATAATAATATAATAATAATAATAATAATAATAATAATAATAATAATAATAATAATAATAATAATAAACATCATCATCACCATCATTATTATTATGATTATTCTTATTATTATTGTTATTTATATTATTATTATCATTATTATTATTATTGTTTTTGTTATTATTATTATTATTATTATTATTATTATTATTATTATTATTATTATTATTATTATTATTATTATTATCAATATCATTATCATTTTTATAGAATTATCGTTGTTGTTGCTGTTGTTATTACTATTATTATATTCATTACTGTTATTAGTATTATTATTATTATTATTATCAACAATATTATCATTACACTATTACTATTTCTATTATTATTATTATCATGTCATAATTATTTTTGAATTATCATTACTATTATTAGCCTATTATCATTATTATTATTATTATTATTATTATTATTATTATTATTATTATTATTATTATTATTATATATTATTATTTATTATTATTATTATTATTATTAACAGTATTATATTATTATTATCATCATTATTATCATGTTTATTATTACAATTATTATCAGCACTACTATCATTATTATTATTACTTTGATGGTAGATTATTCAGCTTCCCTTCTAAGCCATCTATACAAGTGCCGCTCGTCTACATATATGAGGCAGCGTGGTGGAATCAGGCTCTCGTCAATTTTTGGGCATGTACAGTTATTGGTATCATCTTAAAGCTTGTTCACTTGTCTTTATTTGGATGCAAAAAATATCCATTTAACTTGAATACAAGTCGAGATATTTGCAAAAGAAGGAGGTGGGGGTCACCTGTTTTCAGAGGTAAAATTAGTGAGAAAATAGCCGCCAAAGATTTTTTATGTCTTTAATCAACGTTTTTCAGAAAAATCCACACAGAAATGAGTTCTTTATGGGCATGAAAGGTGTTGTGCCAAAAAGCAATAATTTGATAAAAATTCACAAACACTCGGAAAAATGCAAGTTTCTTCACTTTGATTATTTTGACAAGAGCCTGATTCCACCGCACTGCCTCACATATCGCTTTTGTAAGTTATCCGGTGTCTGTTTTATTGTTAATCTAGATAAACACGCTTGCTATCGGTGTAGAACACTACATAACGTTTTATAGATATATAGGTCTTATGATTAATGCTTTCATTTTGAGAAGTGTATTTGTTACATCGTAGCGACTTCTGGCGCCTATCAAAGTAATGAAATGGAAGAAATTAACGGTTTTCTTCACTCTTGAGCAATGTGTATTGTAATTAATTTTGTTGTATTTGTTTTTAATTCTCTTTTTCTATCTTTTTTTTTGGGGGGGGAGAGAGAGAGGGGGGGTTAAAAGTCCTTCATGTCCATTTGGGAACACATTTACATTATGTAGATTTTACAACCAACCCCCCCCCCCCCCC